GTCCCAGCCCACTGGCTACCCCTGCTCATAACTGTTGACTTACTTGTTCCCAGCCTGTACCATATATGTCTTGAATTCTATTGTATGAATGAATACTTTTCCAAGAGGAACTTGTCCTTTGGCTACTCAGGCTCTTGAACAAGATCTTGATAATCTGAGGGGGCTTTTTGGTAGCAGGACTCGAACTCAGGACCTGACGCTTGCCAGGCAGGCGCTTTGCCACTGAGCTATATCCCTGGCCAGAGATTTTTTTCTTAAATTGAAACAAGCTGATTAAGTGAGATCCAGCCATTTAAGAAAATAAAACATAGAATTTATTTTTTAAATAAATTTTTTAAAATGTGAAGCTCTTAAAATGTGAAGTTTTTAGAAATGTGAAGTCAGGGGCTGGGAATTTAGCTCAGCGGCATAAGCACCTGCCTTGCAAGCAGGCAGTCGTGAGTTCAATTCCCGGTACCGATAAAAAAAAAAAGTGAAGTTGGCAATGGAGGTGGAGAAAGAAGGAACTGCAGGTAAGCTAAAGAAGAGAACAGAATAGTTATGTGGAAGGAAGCAGTGATGTCAAGTGAGACAAGGAAGCAAAGGGAGCCACCCTCACCAACAAGGCAGTGCAAAGTCTTTGGCCTTTTTTACTGGATACTCAAGCGAAGCCTCCGTGGCATTTCCGTAGGAAGCTGGTATCCTGGGACTAAAAAGCAGTGGTCTTTGAGCGGACTATCATATGCTTCTTTTTAGCCCAGAACATCAACATTTGAAGATTTCAGAAATGATATGCTTAATGTAACACATTTTATAAGCAGTTTCCAATTACCTTCTATTTTACTGTTACTACTCTAAAGCACCTCCAAAACTTCAAAGAAAGAAAGAAAGACACAAAGAATACAAAGATGGAGATGAGGCCCCCCTACTTTTTTTCTATATATCTAAGGTTGCAAAAGTAGGAATGTGAACTTCTGCTGATTGATCTGAGAAATATACAGGCTGGGCGTGTAGGTGTGACATAAAGGAGCCAGTATGTGAGTATCTGTTTGGCTTGCCCACTTAGATGTGATAACTCAGGGGTTTTACTTTGATTTCTGTAGAACTGATAAGGTGCTTTAGGACAAGCACCTGGAGGCTTATCGCACTGTCTCTTGGGCTCCTGCCTCCCCAGTTGTCAGGAGGTTGATGTGTCCTGGCCTTGGCAGCCGTGCATTCCACAGGACAGTCTCTACAAGATACATGTGTTCTCATAAAACAACTTTTTAACAAAGAAGAAACACAGGCTCCTTCTGTGTTGTTAAAAAGCTGTAACAAAGACAGCACTCCAAGTTTATTTCTCATATATCTTGCCTAAAGTGAAAGGACATGATGGTCTAGCCTTAGATACTCAAGTCCAAAGTTAGAAAACCCTGTTTTCTCTGCATTCACTATGAGAGAATCACTGGTGTCACGAGAATACGAAGGAGATGACTAACCCAGCCTGAAAATGAGACAGTTAACTCTCTAAGAACCATGTGTTCTTTTCAGTTACATAGGGCCTAACTATACAGGAGGCCTTTAACAATGCATTGAAAGAGTGAGTGGTCTACTAGCTTTGTGTCAATGAGTCTGTTAGATTCACTGCTGCCAATCATTATGTGGGGATGAATAAGGCAAAAAGGAAGGTCAGACTGGTATTTTTCATGCCAAACATGAGTTATTTTTGAGATGTGGAGGCTAAAGGATGTTGATCCATGGTGCCTACTCTTGGTGTCCCCAACAGTTTTGTCTGGCCTCCACTGGTTTAGCAAATTCTTATGTTGATTGCTCGCTTTGTTTTCCGGAGAACTTCTATGTCCTCACCATGAGGTACTTATATTAAATCTCATCCTTAATTAATAAATAAGGAATGAGATTTTTGTTTGTTTTTAAAGAGGCATTGAAGAATGGGCATCGTGGTACATGCGTGTAATCCCAGCACTTGGGAAAGCTGAGACAGTAGGATTGCTACAAGTTTGGGCTATGAATTGAGTTGGCAATTCAAGCCTGGGCTGTGAATTGAGTTCAAGGCCAGCCTGAACTGCATAGCAAAACCCTGTCTACAAACAAACAAACCATTTAAGGTATAAAGTTGGAATGGTAGTTCTATTTAGTTTTGGATTTGGTTTTTATGTTTCAAACAGGAATTAATTTTACATTGTTAAGTTCTCTACTAGTTTTTAAAATGTGTATGTTTCTTTTTCTGATTGTAAAGTGATAGATTGCAAAAATTCAAGCATGAATAAGAATGCAATAGAGATAATAAAAGTCAGACAAATTTTGTCACCTAATAAGCACAATGTTGACAATGTAGGAGTTATTTAGGGGCTTATCCGGAATCCAGCTCAGGACCTCATGCTTGCCAGGCAGGTACTGTGCCACTAAGTTAAATCCTCAGCCCAGAACATGAGTTTTTGTGGTGTACTAGGGCTGGAAAAACATCACTACTTACTACCTACATGGTCTGTGGCAAATTATTTAACTTTACTGTACTCCAATTTCTTTATTTTAAAATAGAGATGATGTCTAAAGCTATACAGTAGATAACAGTATTTACTTGATGTTTCAAAGATTAAATTGAGAATATTTAAGTAAAAGATTTGACATTGCACCTGCACCTCCATGAATGATAAATAATAGTGAATATATTTCAGGTCTCTTTGCTTTCCACTTAAATCTCACTGCCTTGGGGGCTGGGGATTTAGCTCAGCGGCATAAGCGCCTGCCTTGCAAGCAGGCAGTCGTGAGTTCGATCCTCGGTACCGATAAAAAGGAAAAAGACAAAAAACAAAACAAAACAAAAAAATCTCACTGCCTTTAGTGTAATTGAACTTGTCAATAATAAACATCTATTGAGAACTTATTAAATGCTGATGTATATTATAAAGAGGGTAATTCTAGAATACTATTTAGCTACTTGTTTAAACAAACCTTATCCTGGAACCTATATGGATTTGTTTCTTATTTCTACTTCTCATTAACAATATAAAATTTATGCCAAATTTGGACCTCTTTTTTGTGAAGGGAAATAGAATTTAACAGTGTTGTCTGAGAGTTAAATGAGTCACTCATTTAGGTACCTACTCATTCAGAAGCAAGGTACTCATAATGTGGTAGGCGCTCAACAAATAATAGCTGTTATTATCTAAGGAATGCACGCAAACTAAAAGATCTTCTTCATCTATGATTTATGACAGTAAATGTACCAAGGGATAGTTCTTTAACCTAAATTCAGGCTATTCAGTAATTATATAGATAAGGCACTAATCTCCTGGTTGCAGTCCTAGGTTTATTTACTACCTTTGATTCTCTCCTAAACCAACACAATTCACTTGTAGGGTTGTTATAAGGATTAAATGAAGTATCACTCTCAAAGCACCTGCTATAATGTGCCTGTTACATAATGTAATTGCCAACTGTTATTAATTTTATTGTGGATGAGTACAGTGTGAAGGCATAAGTAATTATTTCAATTATAATTCTGACCAAATTGAATCGTTTGACTTGTCATTTGCCTGCTCTTTCTCCCAGTCTTGCATATCTCAATCAAGGGCATCATCGCTTACCACCATCCCTCTCTTAAATACATCCATGAGAATGTAAGCTTTGTATTATTGATCACACTGTATTCCCAGTGCCCCAGAATCCATAATGATGTCTGGCCTTTGGTAGGCTTTTTGCTACCTTTGTCTTGAATGAATAAATATAGCAAAAAACCCCACCACTTTGAAGTAGGTCCTATTATTATTCCCATTTTATAGATGAGGATCTAAGTTCACACAAGCAGGAAAACTAGGATTCAAATCCAGGCAATCTACCTCCAGAGCCTATTTGCTTATCCATTATGTTATGGTATTGAACTACAATGGCTTCTGCTGAAGGTAATTATTAAGGGGTTTTTGTTTTCTTTATATTTTGGTGGTGTTAGAAGAGCTTGGTTGAAATTCCTCACTATGAAAATTTTCCTTTAAGTTTCCTAAGAATGAAGTTCACGTACCTCTTCACACAGCCTCGTAGGACAGCACAACTTGCTTTCTTCCAAGTCTCTTCTCCTAATTGGCCTCTTTCCCCAACATTCCAGTCCCTATAATGAACTTTTTCTTCTCGGCCAATGTTTTTATCTCTATCTAAAACACTCCCTGTGAGAAATTTATCATCTGAAGGATTCTAATAGGCAGTGCTTTACCCCAGTCTCCTAAAATTACTTGTCTTTATTGTCCACTGTTGTGCCCTTAATGCCCAAAACAGAATTGGTACTTCACAACTTCTTGTTGACAAAGGTATCAAACGGCAATATTTTTTTGTCTGGTGTTGAGGAGCGAACCCGAGACCTAGCTAGTGCACACTAGGCAAGCACGGTAAAACTGATCGACACAGCACACCAGCAAGGATTATTTTATCAATTTGCAAGTGGAAAAATTGTGGCTACTACAACTGAAACATTTGGTTCTGAGTCCGTTTTTAAGTGGTAGAAATGAGAATTTGGAAGCCTGGATCTCATATACAGTCCTCCGGGTTCACGGCAGCTCTCCTATCCCTTCATTTCCGGTTTACTCTTCCTAGCTCCACCTACTTAGGCCTGCGCCGTTCCCGTGCCTAGTTTGACCCTCTAAAGGCCGCCGTAGCGCGTCGCCTCTGTTGCTGTGGGAAACTACCTAGGACCTAGGAGGGAGCAAAGTCTTTTCCCGCCGGCGGGAGCTCTGGTTGAAACGGGGGCTCAGAGCTGGCGGCACCCATCGCTGCAGCACCATGGCAGACCAGCTTTATCTAGAAAATATAGACGAATTCGTTACGGACCAGAACAAGATCGTGAGGAGCTAGGACTGGGGAATGTGGGCGTGCGAGTGGGGTCCTGGGCTGGGCCAGGGCATTGGCGGCCGCGACCCCCAGTGCTTGCGGCCTCCTGAGACTGGAGGAGGGGAGGCAGGGCATCACTTGTAGTACGTCGGCCGACCGAGCATTAGCTGGGGAGGTAGTTCTTGCGCTTGTTAAATCCGTGTGCCTTGTCTGGGCATGTTGGGTACTCTGCACCCAGCACCTTGGAGCTCAGCTGGGGTGGGAGGGGCATTAAAGAGTCTCTGTGAGGCCGCCCAACACCCTACGTCTCTCTGTTACCGTCTAAAGTCCCAAATTACAGTTGAGGAAATTGTGTTTTATCCACGTTAAAGTGACAAGTTGTTTAACCTCCAGTCAGACAGCTTCCTCTTCCTGGAAATTCAAATAGAGGCTGATCCTACCTCTCGGAGTTGGTATAAAGATCACGTGGGGCTGTGAATGTGAGCGCGTTTTTAAAGACTGTGGTGATTAACTGCCTTTAAGCCGAGACAATTTGGATACACATTGTATTTAGTCTTTACTGTGAGCCTTCTCTTCCACTGCCCAGGTCGGTGGTAGTATCCCTGGAAGAAGAAGTTGTAGCAGACGGGCCAAATAACTTGTTTACTTAAAGTTAGTAAGGGATAAGTAGTTCTCAATTGTACTTGTCTCTTCCACCAACACTACACTTACTGCCTTTGTCTGACCTTTATTAGTGTCAGATTGTTGGAACTTTAGCATTTAGAATTGGAAGAGACTTAGAGAACAGGTATACTGGGTCAAGGAAGCATGAAAACTTGATGGTAGCAGTTCCCAATCTAATTCTTGATAAAACATTAATCTACTTCATTCTTTTTCTGATCCCTACACCATCTGTGACCTTTAACATTGGTATGGCTGCAGCTTTGAGCTTTAAGAGTCACATACTTAAAAGTAATCTAATTTTAGGATGGTTTTGGGTTGTGGTTCTTTGAAAGACTGTGAAATGTATAAGTAAAATAAGGATTGTGAGGAAAATGAGTTTTTTTGATATTCAGCCTGCACTTTTAGTTACTTTTTCAGTAGTCAGGCCATGAAACAGACTTTAGGTATTTGTAAGATAAATATCTTGTTCCACCTACCCGGATAGAAATGGTTCTAAAATGCAGTGGCATCTATTGTAATTTGTAAAGCATAATCATCAAAGTGTAGGAATGTTTACGAGTGGGTCGTGGTACTGATGAATAGTCATTTAATAAAACATTTTTAAAAATGCTGCTTTTTCAGGTGACCTACAAGTGGCTGAGCTATACACTAGGGGTTCATGTTAACCAGGCCAAACAGTAAGTCCAGTTTCCTTCCAATTTTAATGACATTGAAATTTTTTGTTTTATTTTTGTTTCAAATTACAGTATACATAACCACTACATTAGAACTGATTTTTTCTGGGTAAATGGGAGAGAATATTATTTTTACTACCTTTGTGTCTTTCTAGAGTAGTAGCCCTATCTACAAATACATGCTGATAAATTTACTGGCTATATTTGCAGCCTTGGCTTCTAGTTAACATCACTTCATCATTTCCAAATGTATTAAATGGGCTAGTGAATTCTGTTTATAGCTCAAGTTTACATGTCCTGTTATCTTACATCTTCACTGTATTTCCAGATGTGCTTTTTAGGCCTTTCTTTGGGTATTAGTAAAGTACTTCCAGAATGAGGTCAACAGGTGTTTGACACAAGCTGTGTGACAGTGTAAACAGCAGAACCATTTAAGTAAAACTAAAAAAGAGAATGCTTGGGATACTGAAGTATACTGCCCATGAATTTTAAGATATCACTTTTCCTTTCTGAAAATAGTGGTCAAACTTGAAGCCAAGAGGGAAAAGGCTTTTGAATTAACTTTAGATTTTTTGACCTGCAGAGGTGCAAATATTGCCTATGTCACAAGGGAAGGTATAGTTGAACCAAAGAAGTGCACATAAATTGGGTTAAGTCCACATTTAGTGACCTAAGTAAATGGTCTGGTTTTTATTTATTCCTTAAGAGGAAGGAAGTTTGAAGAACTTAACTCTGATCTCTAGAAGAGGCTAATTTGGCTTTGTTTTGGTTAACGTTGGACAAATCTAGGAGACCATCTTTGGCTGTAATGTTTAAGCTTTCAAGACCTAAAGCTGTTAGCATGGGGATGAATTTGGTTTTGACTGAGATTGCTTGAGACCACTCCAGGCCCAAACCCAAGAGTTTCAGTAACTTTGGGAATAAACATCTAGGAAAGTATTGTTCACTCTGGGTATGGGCATTTAAATATGAAATGAAGAAACTCCTTTTGGAATTTAAAGGTGCAGATTAAACACTGAAGTTCCCAGAAGATGCCTGTACTTTTACTTTACTAACCTGGTTATATAAAATTTTTATGGCCTTAACATGCTGTCTAGTTCTTGCATTATTCTATACTGCTCTTCATCTCATTTATTATTTTCTCATATTTTCTGTTATTCAAATACAGCTCACCCTGGAATCTTTTTGCCATTTTATCTGCCTGAGCTGCTGCTTTTCCTAAACTGCTGCTTCTCTTCATCCTTTAGGTTTTAGTTCAAATTTTACATGTCATAGCAAGCCTTCCCTAATGCTCTATTTAAATTTCACCATCCTTCCCTAACTATATCATAGGATTCTGTTAGTTTCTTTCATAAAATTAAAAAATAGATTTGTCAAGATAAATGTACATACCATATAGTTCACCCATTGTAAAGGGTATAATTTAATGATTGTTAGTATATTCCAAGTTGTACAGCGGTTATCACAAACAATTTTATAGTATTTTGGTTAACCCACAAAAAATCATGCCCATTAACAGTCACATTCCCAACCTCTAGCCTTCATCCATCCTACCCCAGCCCTAAATAACCACTAGTCTTTCTGTCTACAGATTCATCCTTTCTGGACATTTCATATAACTAAAATCATATCATAGTCTTTCATGTCTATTTTCTTTTATTTACGATAATGTTATCAAGGCTTATCCAGGTGGTAGCACGCTTCAGTACTTGATTCCTTTTTATGTCTGAATAATACCCCATTAAATAATATATTAGTCCTACTTCTGTGACTACCATAAATATAAACAGGGTGACTTAAGAGTTCAGAGAGCTCGTCAAGGAGTTGACAAGCATGCTGCCTCTCAAATCTGTGAGAATGAGTTCTTCTTTATCTTTGTCCACTCTGTGGTAGTTGCTGACGTTCTTTAGCATTTCTTGCTTTGTAGCTGTGTAACACCAGCCTCTGCCTTTGTTGTCACATAGTATTCTCCTTGTGTGTCTGTATTTTCAGATAGCTATTTTCTTGTAAGGACTCTGTACTGGATTAGGAGCCCACGTTAGAGTATGACCTTGTCATAACTTCAGTAACCCTCTTTTCATAAAGGTCACATTTTAAGGATTGGTGAGTGTTACATGGATATACCAAATTTTATCTATTCATCTATTGATGATTATTTGGATTGTTTCTATTATGAATAATGCTATGAACGTTTGTGTACAAGTGTTAGTATGAACATATGTTTTTATTTCTGTTGTATATAATACCTAGGATGGGACTTGCTGGTTTATATGGTACCTCGTGTTTAACATTTTGAGGAACTGACAGACTAATTTTCAGAGTGATGACATCTTAATAATTTCTTCAACATATGAGGAATCAAATTTCTTCACATTTTTGTCAACACTTTTTATTACATCTTTGGTCTTTAGAGTAAATGTGAAATGATTTTGATTTGGTTTGTATTTTTTTATAAAATATTAAACATATTTTCATGTTTCATTGTCCATTTGTATGTCTTTGGAGAAATAGTTACCAAAACATTGTCCATTTTTTTTTTTTTATTGGATTAGCTTTACTGTTGAGTTTTAAGAGTTCTTTATATATTCTGGATATAAGACTGATCAAATAATGATTTGTAAAAACTTTCTCCCATTCTGTAGATTTTGTACTTTTTTTTTTCCTCTCCCTGCCTTTTTTTTTTTTGTCTTTTTGAAACAGGATTTTACTATGTAGGCTGGCCTTGAACTTACTTTGCAGCTCTAGCTGGCCTTGAACGTGCAGCAGTCCTCCTGCTTCAGCCTCCCAAATGTTGAGATTACTGGCATGCCCCTCTTCTTCCACACCCCATTCCGAGTATTGGAAATTGAACCCGGTAGTGAGTTATATCCTCAGCCCCTCTTTTGTATTTTTATTTTGAGGCAGACCTCGCTTAATTTTTGCAGGCTGCATTTGAACTTGTGATCCTCCTGCCTTAGCCTCCTGTGTGTTTTTGTTTTGTTTTGTTTTAGTTTTTTTTTTGGCACCAGAGATCAAACTCACGACCTCACACTTGCCAGGCAGGCACTTACACTGCTGAGCCAAATCTGGCCCTTTTAGTCTCATAAAGTATTGGGATTACAGGTACTTGCCACCTCATACAACTGTGTTTATACTTTCTTTTGTATTTGTTTCCCTTAAAAATCATTCTTTTGAATTCTTTGTCAAGCAACTTGTGCTTTCTTGATGGTGTTCTTTGAAGCATAGACATTTTTATTATTGACAAAGTCATTTTTTTCTTTTGTTGATTGTGGTTTTTTTTTTTTTAGACAGAGTCTCACTATGCAGTTCAGGCTGGCCTTGAGCTCACTTTATAGCAGAGGCTGATCTTGAACTCAACAGCAGTCCTCTTGCCTTGGCCTCCCAAGTGCTGGGATTACAGATATGTACCACCGCGCCTGGCTTTTTTTGTTTGTTTGTTTAATTTTTTGAGACAGGTCTCACTGTATATTCTAGGATGATCTTAAACTCATGATGTAGCCCAGGCTGGCCTCAAACTCATGGCATTATGTAAGTTTTCTACAGATCATGTGCTTATTAACCTAAAACATGCTTTATTCCTTACAATAAGATTAGACAAGCTTGATGTGTTGGTACATGCAGGTAAACTCAGTACTTGGGAGGCTAAGGCAGAAAGATTGTAAGTTGAAGACCAGCTAGACTATATAGCAAGATCGCATCTCAAAAAACCAGAGAGGGTAAAGAATACACTAGAACTTTCAGATTAGATGTTTGATTTTTGAGGGGGATGGGTTGAATTCATGGCCTCATGCTTGCCAGGCAGGTACTTGTGCCATTGAGGTAAATCCCCAGTCCCCAGGATTAGATTTTTAAATGAAGCCCTAATGTCTTGACAATGATTTGGAGTTTTTTCTACATGGGGTAAAGAAAGAGCCCAACTTCATTCTTGTACATGTGGGTATATTAGTTAGCTTTTCGTTACTGTGAGCAGAATACCTACAAACGCAGTTTAAAGGAGAAAAAGTGTATCTTGGCCCATCAGAAGTTTCAGTCTATGGTGGCTAGCGCCAAGGTAAAAACAGCATGGTGGAAGAAAGCTGCTCACCTCATGACAACCAGTAAGCAGAGGGAGGAAGGAAAAGCCACAAGAGAGAGGGTTTGGGGACAGGGTATGTCCTTCAGAGGCATACCCCCAGGGATGTGCTTCTTCCATCAGGCCCTTACCTCCTAATAAGTCATTCAGCTATAAACTCATCAATGTGTTAGCCCATTGATGAGGTTTAGTGCCTTCTTCATCCCACCACCTCTCTGGGTCCCACCTCTGAACATGAGACTTTTGGGGGACATTTTAGATCTAAGCTCTAATAGTGGGTATCTAGATGCCCCAGAGCTTTGTAGCTCTTCTTACTGTCTGACACTTTCTTGCTTGTTTTACATGTCTTCTCTACCAGAAGCTCTATAAAGGCGAGTCTTGTTGTAAAAGTTCATTGCTTTCTAGTTACTGTTGGCTGTGTGACAAATCTCAAAATTTAGTAGCTAACAACAACCATTTTTTTGTGCTTATAGATTCTTCTGGCCTGGCATTTGGACAGGGCCTGGTGGGTCAATTCTGTGTTGTCTAGGGCCTTAGCTGGGAAGTCTCAGTGTTTGGAGCCCAGGCATCTATACAGGCATGTGTGTGTGGTGAGGACTTTAACTAGGACTGTTGCCCTGAGTACTTCATGTGGTTTGCCTGTGTGGCCCAGGCTTCCTATCATGATGTCTCCAGGTATTCAGCATGATCTCACACAGCAGCTCAGGGATCTAAAAGCTTGTGCTCCAGGACACAGTTTGGTCACGTGCCCTTTCTGGCTAGCCTCAGAGGTAAGCAGTGAGTCACTAGCCCTCCCAGATTCAGCATGTGGGGCTATATTCTACCTCTTAGTGGAAAAACATCTGAATGGAAGCTGCTGTTTTCAGTCTTGTTTGGAAAATGTAGCATGTCCCACTCATTGTAGCTTCAGGGGATGCCAGGAAATATTTGT